GAACATGGATCACCTACTCTGTATGACAACTTGTGAACATGGATCACCTACTCTGTATGACAACTTGTGAACATGGATCACCTACTCTGTATGACAACTTGTGAATATGGATCACCTACTCTGTAAGACAACTTGTGAACATGAATCATCTACTTTGTATGACCACTTGTGAATGTGGATCACCTACTCTGTGTGACAACTTGTGAATATGGATCATCTGCTCTGTGTGACAACTTGTGAACAAGGATCACCTACTCTTTATAACAACTTGTGAACAAGGATCATCTGCTCTTTATAACAACTTGTGAACAAGGATCATCTACTCTGTATGACAACTTGTAAACATGGATCACCTACTCTGTATGACAACTTGTGAACAAGGATCACCTACTCTATAAGACAACTTGTAAACATGGATCACCTACTCTGTATGACAACTTGTAAACATGGATCACCTACTTTGTATGACAACTTGTGAACATGAATCACCTACTCTGTAAGACAACTTGTGAACAGGAATCATCTATTCTATATAACAGCTTGTGAACATGAATCATCTACTCTGTATGACAACTTGTGAACAAGGATCACCTACTCTTTATAACAACTTGTGAACAAGGATCATCTACTCTGTATGACAACTTGTGAACAAGGATCACCTACTCTTTATAACAACTTGTGAACAAGGATCATCTACTTCATAACAACTTGTGAACATGGATCATCTGCTCTGTATGACAACTTGTGAACAGGGATCATTTGCTCTTGATAATAACTTGTGAACATGAATCATCTGCTCTGTATGACAACTTGTGAACAGGGATCATTTGCTCTTTATAACAACTTGTGAACAGGGATCATCTACTCTGTATGACAACTTGTGAACAGGAATCATCTACTCTGTATGACAACTTGTGAACATGGATCATCTGTTCTGTATAACAACTTGTGAACAGGAATCATCTACTCTGTATGACAACTTGTGAACAGGAATCATCTACTCTGTATGACAACTTGTGAATATGGATCATCTACTCTGTATGACAACTTGTGAATATGAATCATCTACTCTGTATGACAACTTGTGAACAGGAATCATCTACTCTATGACAACTTGTGAACAGGGATCATCTGCTCTGTATAACAATTTGTGAACAGGGATCATCTGCTCTGTATAACAACTTGTGAATAGGGATCATCTGCTCTGTATAACAACTTGTGAATATGGATCACTACTCTGTATGGTAACTTGTGAACAGGAATCATCTACTCTGTATGACAACTTGTGAACATGGATCACCTACTCTGTAAGACAACTTGTGAATATGGATCATCTACTCTGTATAACAACTTGTGAACAGGAATCATCTACTCTGTATGAAAACTTGTGAACATGGATCACCTACTCTGTATGACAACTTGTGAATATGGATCATCTACTCTATAATAATACGTGAACACCACAACTGCCAGTGTTAATTTCTTTGGAAAAATTCTCATATAAACAAAGTGATTGCTACATTTTCAAATATAGGTCAAACTAATACTACACATCACCCATAAACAATGTCCATGGATGACCCCAAGACATCCTGTTCTTTATGTACATCATTTGTCTTTGCACTTATGTTAATTTACTGATGCTGTTGACCTAACTGATAATTACTGCAAAATCTCTGAAGCTGATTGGACAAAAACAAGACTACAGGATCAATATCAAAGTGATTTGAAGAGGGTCTACATTAAATACTGTGGATTAAGTGATCAAAAATACTTCTGGTTTGGAAGTGAATAACCCAGTGTACGAGTCAATAATGTACAATAAACATCTTTACAGTAAGAAATGTTGTTGTTCACTCTATTAAAAACTTTTTCCTAATGCAAAGTGTTATGTTTCAGCGAACAAAAATATCTTTGTATCAGCAGAAGATTCCAGAAACTAAATAAAACTTGTTTTACTTTCACCATTTGAATATCAAGAAAGCCAAAGTTTAGCCTAGTATAACTTCCTTCAAAGTGCTCAACTTACAAAATAAAAACTAAGAAAAGATGTTTACAGTTATCATATAAAGATACAAAGATATAAAAAAATCAATATTTTCAAAAGCAACTAATTATTAAATATTCAATATATTTTCATTTATTTATAGATACAAGAATACATATCCAATACCTGTGAGGCTCCATCTGCCTTATCCTGCATTAAAGCATTTAGTGCATCTGTATCATGATCGGAATCCGGAGGTGTACTTAGATTTCTTCGTTTGTACAGCTACAAAATCAAATACAAAAAAGCATATCAGGGATTAGAATATATATAAATCATAAAGCATGTATTACAAAAGAAAATACTTTTTCTTTAAAGCAGAGACATTTTTTTTTATCTTTTCCAATGAGTAGCATTGTTTTGTATTTATCAATGAAACTAGTTCCCATTTTGGAACTCAACATTTTCACAATTCCCTATTAAACCATTTCCAGAGGAAACTAGTTCCTATTTCGAACTCAACATTTTCATAATTCCCCATTAAACCATTTCCAGAGGAAACTAGTTCCTATTTCGGAACTCAACATTTTCACAATTCCCCATTAAACCATTTCCAGAGGAAACTAGTTCCTATTTCGGAACTCAACATTTTCACAATTCCCCATTAAACCATTTCCAGAGGAAACTAGTTCCTATTTCGGAACTCAACATTTTCACAATTCCCCATTAAACCATTTCCAGAATAACAACTTTCTTTCATTCTATTTAATTTGTTTATACATAAAATTGGTGACTTTCTGTACATGAGATGACAATACCAGCACAGAAACAATTTAGTGTTTTCACCTTTGTTTCAAGAACTAAGTGACCATTTTCAACAAGAACAGCCTGTTCTAGGATTTTAGCTCTTTTTGTAACATCCGTAGCTGACTGAGATATATAATTTATGGATTTTAGCTGTTTTTGTAACATCCGTAGCTGTCTGAGATATATAATTTATGGATTTTAGCTGTTTTTGTAACATCCGTAGTTGATTGAGATGTATAATTTATCATCTTTAGCCATTTTCTTGCTACATCCATATCACGTAAAAAAAATTTATACAAGCACAAGCTAATTTCAAAATGGTAATTATAATCAAGTCTAAAAAGCTCCCAATGTACAGCAACGTATCATTACTCATAGAGTTATCAAAGTCACAAACCACAGTCACTTAAAACTAAAAACAACTGCTTATTTCATATTTACCAGTTTTCATTGTTCAGTTTCCATAGAGATGTACAAGTCAATCTAATAATACATAATTCTCTGCTAATTACAGCATCTGTGGGTTGAGTATGAACAGGTTTTTAAGGTTCAATTTAAACAGAGATGTACAAGCACAAAGTTTTTATGGGCTGAATATGACACAGTTTTATAGGAACAGTTTCTACAGAGACAAGTATAGAGCCTTTATGCGTTGAAATAAATAATTTTAAAGGTTTAGTCGCCACAAAGTCTTAAGTCCACTTAAAGTATATGATTCCACTGCCAAATACAGTCTTTATTGATAACTTGTTTTTAAAAATTCAGTTTCCATCGATACTAACATCTCTGTTCAAAACATTACTGATTCTCATCTGTAGAGAAATACTTTTTGGATTAAACACGACTGTTTAAGAGCTTAATTAACAAACAAACCTAATATACATCAATTATGAGAAATGTCTGAAAATGAAGGAGTACCATTCAAAGTCCATACACCCAGAAAGATACAAAACAGATATATAATAACACCACCTCATGTTACTGATTCTTATCTGTAGAGAAATACTTTTTGGATTAAACACGACTGTTTCAAGAGCTTAATTAACAAACAAATCTAATATACATCAATTATGAGAAATGTCTGAAAATGAAGGAGTGCCATTCAAAGTCCATACACCCAGAAAGATACAAAACAGATATATAATAACACCACCTCATGTTCACGCTTCTGTTTTCTCAATTGTACACCTTCTTCTTCTCGTCTTCTCCTCAGTTCTTGGGCATCTAAACCAGTATTTTTGTATCGATATCTGTGAGTACTAGACATGGTTGGTCTGAGGTTAGCTATTAAACAATAACTGCAAAAAAGAAAAAAATACGAGTTTAAAAAACATTAAAAATACTTCCTCTCATCTTAGAACTTCAAGTTTGTTTTTGTTTTTACTGTTAATAAGAATATTACACTTTACGTACACAATCAGTTTCAATTTCAATGATATTCATTAATATATTTTCTTTTGTACTTTAATTTGCAATTAAAGTATTCATCATTTCTGGTTATAATTTGTAAAAAAAAAATACAGGAAAACTAATAAAGAATCATGGCATTAAGTCAAGCAACGTAACAATATTTGGGCTGAAGTTTGGTGGAATGGACAGCAACTGCCTGTTGTAGAAACAGAAGTGCAGAGGATGACATTTTGAGTCTTCCACCTGAAGATGAAAGGCAGAAGATTTTTGAAACATCATCCTCTACACTTGTGTTTCTACAACTGGCAGTTGCCATCCATTTAACGTAATTTAATCATGAATACTCTGCCTAAACAATGTATTAAAAAATATTTGTGCTAACAATATTCTTAGTCAAAACCAATTTATATCTAATGAACAAACTTTATTTTTGATAAATCAAGTTATTTTACTTACACACTTTGTTTGAATATGATAAACATAACATTCAATGAGAAATGATTTGAAGTCACATCCGAGTCACTGGAATATACTATATCACTATCTCATACTCTAAACCTAATAAGGCTTACTTGATGTCTTGTTAAAATAGAAAATTACCAACACTTACAAATATAATTAAAATTAAAAGAACATCTAAAGAAATTATAAAAAAGATTCCCAGATCTGTGGTTTGTTCCCAAGTAAACTAAACTTCCCATTAATTTTAATTGATTTTCTATGCAAGTACTACACCTAATCACTCCTCACACAACTTTATGTTAACGTACACACTTTATAAAATACTCTACGCAATACTTTTAAACTTTGCCTGTAACTATTTTACAAACTGTTTATTACTGGTTATTCCTACCCTTTCATGACCACTTCATAGCTTGTAATATGAAGAGAGGTTAATAATATCAAATTATCAGAGAATCAAGAAAACGAACATTTGGTTAATTGTAAACTTAAGGGATGATAGCATCTTAGCAATAAAGACCCATGTTTTGAGATGAGCAGAAAAAGTATTTAGAAAAACCAATACATGTGTTGACAAGCGAGACTCTTCAGACCCGTGCAAAAATGTAGGTTTGAATACATTTTACATTTTTCTTTCTGCCTGACACTAGATCGCCATTACAAGATGAAAAAATATCAATTCTTAAATATTTGTGAGTAAAAAATTCTCGAAATATGATTTACTATTTTTTACTCAGCATCTGAAAAGTGCCCTCAAGTATGAAAAGTGTTAATTGTAAACACGTTATTAAATACTTTTAACTTTTTTTTTGTATACAGATATTTGATGCCTGTTCAATCAAACAAGAGAGCCTTAATGAAACAGTGAGGATCACGTAGAACTCAAATCTATCACTGTTGAAATTTTCATTTATTTATTTTTTTATTTCTAAATACAACTGTTCAACCAAAACTTTTAGCTGTTAACCCTTCAATTATTAACGCCCAGTGGTATGGGGGGTCATAGTGATTCTATGCTGGCATTCTAAGGTTAAACAAAGCATCAATTTTATGAAATTATTTCAAGTAAAATTCAATGTTAATAATAGACAAGTCCTTAATCAGTAATAATAAAAAACCAAAACTTCATAAATTTAAGATAAACAAGGAATAGGTTTTTAATTTCATTCACATTCATATGTTAAGGTAGTTTTCTTTTTATAACAAATTAAATCACACGAAACGTACAATCATCCTTCTCACATTTTGTCTAACTATCAGATCAGTTGTTACCTGGCTTCTGAAACAAAATACTTATTTGTGCGAGTTTTTTTAGTGATCTTGTACGTGTAATTCGTTACACAATACAAACTTTCTGCCCACTTACGTTTCCCTAGTTCAAACAAATTATCGTTGTGTTTCTGCTTGTGGATTTTTCACTTAAATACGAAAGGTCTACGTGTATATATATCTAACAGAATTCTTTCCCTTCACATCAATGGAGGTTGTACAAAAATAGTAAGTAATTTAGCTCCCAAGCCCCTACGGTATTACTCTCCTGCTTGCTTTACCACATTCATCTCACATTTCTGACGTAATGGTGGATCCAAGACAGAAATAGAATTATGTTACTTTTATGTGGTTCACTAGATGTGACCTATAGCGTGGTTCAGTGGATGTGACCTATAGCATGGTTCAATAATGGTGGATCCAAGACAGAAATAGAATTATGTTACTTTTATGTGGATCACTAGATGTGACCTATAGCGTGGTTCAGTGGATGTGACCTATAGCATGGTTCAGTGGATCTGACCTACAGCATGGTTCAATAATGGTGGATCCAAGACAGAAATAGAATTATGTTACTTTCATGTGGTTCACTAGATGTGGCCTATAGCGTGGTTCACTAGATGTGACCTATAGCGTGGTTCACTAGATGTGACCTATAGTGTGGTTGACTAGATGTGACCTATAGCGTGGTTCACTACAT